ACTTGTTTGAACTTATCAGTGCATCTATCCATTGTATTGAAATCAATTTATTCCATGCAACCACAATGTAAACATTGTTAAGCAAGACAACACTTTTAGGGCAAAATAGTTCTTTACATACCATATTATCCAAGTGTAGTGGCTTCCAACTCTTACCATAACCAAAACGAGATTAACAAGTACCATATGGTTACTTAGATATATTTGATATTCGATATTTGTTCATATAAGATGTATCGTGAGCATTATAAATGTCCATAACATGTATAAAATCAATAGGAATACATCTTCTTGAATTTCACAAGTTAAACTTAGCTCTCATCAAGCCATTAAATAAAAACACCAAGAAATGACTTCAAGTCTTCCAAGCTTTACTCCTCGGCTTTTCCTTTTACTTTGGAGTGTCTTCGCAGGTTGATTTTTCTTTGTATTTTAATGCACAACAAATCTCTTCTCAACCAAATATATATATATATATATTGAAGCACCCAAAACTATATTATATCATATTTACTATATTAAATGGACATTATTTTCCATAAAAACGGAGATATAATAATTTCAAATAATTATATATATGTGGAGAAGGGATTAGAATGCATACTTTAACCAATAGTATTATTTAATCGAGGTTTAATTCACAATTTGATCCTCTAAGTACATTTGTTTTCCTATTTTGCATCTTATGTTTTACTCTTAAAGTACACATATTTTATCAGTTTGCATTCTAAATCAAATTGGACTAATTTGTAAATTGAGCCTTTTGATTGATTTTTTTATGAGATTATAATTAAAATTTATTTTATTTAAAATATAATAAAAATAATACCGTTATCACAAGCACCCATCCATACCCTCTCACTTCTTTTATTGAATGAGTTGAAGGTCCATTTATTGGGCAACCCTTATGGATAGTACTTTCAATCATTGCAAGTATATCAATATGTGGCTAAACTCTCGAGATAACGTTCTCGAATAAATTAATTCACGAGATAATGCACTCCTCAGATTAATTGCTCAAATAGGGTGAAATCTACAGTGTTGGTCATAGGTCGCCATGCCATCCGGGCGACCTACTAGGTCGCCATGTCTTCCCGGCGAGCTATGAGAGAGATTGCAGTCATGCACGTTCCAACACGTTGGGCATCCGAAGCTATCCGACCGAGGGCATCCGACCGAGGCCATTCGAGCGAGCTATGCGAGGGCATCCGAGGGCAAGAGGAATCACGCGAGGAGCAGGAGGAGTGTATGGCGACCTACAAGGTCGCCAGGAGTGCATGGCGACCTACAAGGTCGCCCGGAGTGCATGGCGACCTACAAGGTCGCCCGGAGTGCATGGCGACCTATGCTGGGAAGCTGCCACGCCGTAGGTCGCCCGGAAGGCATGGCGACCTACGGCCAACACTGTGCAATTCGCCCTATTTGAACAATTAATCTTGGGAGTACGTTATATCGTTAAATAAAAAATTCGAGAACATTATCTCGAAAATTTTGCCATCAATATGTAGTGGGAGAGTGGTGCAAGTACAGTACTAAAATTCTAAGTTTAGTCCCTTTAAATAATGAAATTTAAATTATGTTTTAGCCTTCTAAAATTTTATAATTTACATATTGTCTCTCAAGAAGAAAAAAATCATAATTTCACCCTATAAGTTAACTTAAAAAAGTATTAAATAATACGTACTTTAAATAACTTATTAATGATTCTATATTAAATAAATAATATAAAAAAATGATACATTAATTGAAAAATACAATAAAGCGTTCTTTATATTAATCAAGACATTTCTTATACAAATAATATTTTCTTTGAGATTCTTAGGCTTTGAGAATTTATAGTACAAGCAAATTAAATTATTATTTGTTGCATATTTTTTAATTTAGTTGGTATCATCGGATTAAGTTATATTAAACTCGATCACGTACTTTATATAGATGTTTTGAAAACTGTTTGTGAAATATTTTGTATAAAAATATTATATTTTAGAATATAAAATCAACAAAAATTATAGGCAAATTGATCAAAGGTTTTAATACAAAATTATAGATTTTAAATTCGACTCCAATATATTGATCAATTGTTCTATTTAAATATGATATATAAACATAAAAGGGCATAATAATCTTAAAATAATACCGTTGAATAGCAAAGATCTCACTATTCAGAGATTCAAACTAAAAGTTCAATGCTACCACACTTCTAAATGTTGTGAAAAATGTTAAAAGAAAGCAAAATATGGGCAGAGCATTTTGATAGGGAAGATGAAAAGTAGGAAAATTTTAGGCAGCCCCCTTCCCCTTCTTTCTCTGGATCTTCTTCATGTAGAACTCTAGCTCTTTGCCCTCCAAGATATGCCTGTCCAACCCATTTCACCTCGTGTTAGAATGAGATCGATAATAGCTAGTCTTAAATAATTCACAAATAGGAAAGCTACGAGTATAACATATACCCATCAGCACGGCCGCATTGACCTGGCCTTGAAGAGATGCAAGCCAACAAACGACCACTGCCGAATTGCTCCTCAATATGAGGATCAAGCTTACGATTCTGCTGACGTTTCTCCAGCTTCCTCAAGACATGGTTGCTCTTCTTCACCTCCTCAGTGGCAGTTTCAGCTTCCTAAACACAAATGAACCGAAACAAGAATGTAAACAGAGATGCACTCAGTCTGATATTAAAAACACCAAAGAAAGGTCTTTATGCTCAACCAGAAATTTTGAATACAATATTATTCTAGATTGATCCATAATTTCTACTTTTAGAGACCCAAGTAGGAGAAGGTGCAGACATCAACAGATATGCATATGCAGCATGATCCTATGGGTCAAACAATCTGATAGTGTTCAAAACCAGTTGAGACAAGTGGAATGAAGCATATCAAGTTGCATGCAGAAATGGATCATATCAACGTTCAACTACAACGAGACAAAAAAATTAAAACAAGAATATTAACCAAAATGAATGCCAAGTCTTTTGAAATGATTGAAACAACAACATATGAATGATCAACAGAAACAGTATACACCTGAATTCCCTACCTCTCCTTCTTTCTTGGCAGCCGCAGCAGCTGCTGGTTTCTTCTTGCGGCCAATGTCAACACCATAGTGCTGGAGATACCACTGCTTGAAGGGAGCAGCGTCAACTTGAACAATAGCACTCTTCACCAGAGTTTGAGTACGAACCAGCTCGTTGTTGGATGCATTGTACACAACATCCAAGATTCTGGTCTTACGGGTCACTGACTCGCTTCCCCATGAGTAGTTCCCGGTATCAAGCCTCAACGCACGCCACTTAACGTTTCCACCACGAACTCTAATCCTCCTGACTGTCTTGTTGCTAGACAGTTTTGTATTTGCAGGTTGCCTTCCAAGCTCATACCTTGAAAAATAATAAAACACCGAAAATTAGAAAACTAGATAGACCAAGACTGAAAACACTCAAGTAAAAGAACAATATAATAAGAAAGGAAACTAGGCAAGATCTCAGATATATAAACAAACAAGAAAGGATCAACTTTTACATCTAAAAAATATCCCAATGAAGCTCACTAGAATTGTTCTAAAATTGAAAATGAAATAATGTTAAATCTGAAACAAATTTCCATATCTAAAACACAATGCAAGGAAAATTAGAAGAAAAAAAACCCATTTTTTTAATCATTCTAAATAAATCAGCTTTCTAAGCAACCAGAGAAAGCGCGATCAAGAAAAGTAGGAACACAAAACAAAAGGAAATAAAGGTTTTCGTTTATTACTTTCTCTTCTTCCTCCAAGCCTTCTTCTTTCCACCAGTGGCACGCCTCTTGTGCATTGAATCACGAGAGATACCTATAATAAAAAGACATTAAACTCATTAAGCAAGAAATCTGATTATATAACTACATAATGCAAAGAGATGTATGAAAAATTAGAGGAATGTGAGACACACCCATTTTGGCTGATAAAAATGAAGATCTATGCCTCCTTGGTTTTTTTTCACGTTAAGCTAGGAGGCGGAGGTGACTCAGTGGAGACTTGAAGCAGGTTTATACAGGGAAAAACCCTAGTATTGGAAACTACATTTATATCCTCTATAGATTTTGGGACGGTTAAAGTTCCCTTGTAGGTAAAGTAATTAATGTGCATCTTTAGGTCTAATTAAAATGTTCGGCTTCATGATTTAATGTATCAAAGCCCAATAACTTTGGATGCTTTGTATCATGGCCCTGTAAAAGAAACTCAATACAACAAGAGTTAATTATATCAAACGTCTTCAATTACATCACTTATTTTATATCAGCCTTTAAATTTGAAATTATTTTAATTTCATCCTCAAATAATTGATATATATCAATTAAATCTCTAATAATTAAATTATTAATAAATTTATCAAATTTGCTGACATGAAGTAATTAAATAGTTAAAATTATTTTTTTAAAGAAATCTTAATTATGGGCTACAACTAGTAGACTCATGTTTAATCAATCGATAGATAATATTCCGGGACTGAGGCAGGTTTGGGTGCTGAAAGTTGAAATAATTTAAAAGTTAAGGATCAATATAAAATGAAGGTCATAGTTTAGAGATGACTGATGCAATTAACTTAGAGAATACTTACAACCTAATAAGAATTTCCAAAAAGAAAAATTATATTTCTTAGAATTAAAGACACAAATCAAACGAACTCAATAATTAAAGAAATGATTGTTATCTTTAAATGTCTCAGACTCAAACACAATTTTTGTAAGGGTATTTAAAATTGATTATCAAATAGTTAAAAATATTACGAACATATACTATATTGTAATTACCCAAAGCTAATAAAAAAATAGAATTAAATGAAGAAGTTTTAAACCCTTAACTTTAGACCCAAAGTCAAAATTCAATTCAAGATTTGATGATTGTGGCCAATTCGTTAGATTTGATGATGGAGATTAAGTGCCATTTGCAGACAACATATGGTCCATTAATAAGCTTGGTAATCAGACGGACCATAAATGAGGATGCAACAACACAAGAAAGAAGCAATTTCATATTTATGCTAGCAAAACCTTCAATTCTCAAACACATGCAAAATTCTACAAATGACGGCAAAAATAAAAATGCCCTGTAGGAAACCTTCATTTGGATTTTACCAAGGACTTGCAGAACGAACAAAATGCTCCTTTCACCTCATCTGGAAGAGGGATCGAGAGCGGCAGTGCTAAAGGATGAGGACCCTTGTGGTGCGCGTTCTCGTTTCTCGCAAAAAACGAATGTGCCAGCGCTGGCTGCTGTTTGTTAAGCCCTTCGATGACAAATGAGAAGGCCCCAAAGGTGAGACAGCTCTGTAGAAGTGCCTGGGGTGCACCTGCATAACCATTCCAAGCAAAGATGAGGTTGAAACTGAAACCTATACTTTAAACTTTTACTGAGAAAGAATGAACCTCGAGATTCTTGTACCTGGGAAACTTAGAGCAAGTCCAGTGCAACATCCGGCTACACCAGCATTAATAACTGCAGCGAAAGAAAACATTACTATATGCGAACCAGGAACCGAAAAAAAGGGCAATGTTATCCTGATTTTTACAAAGGCATACCATCATCTTTTCCCCGCAGCCTCTTCAGAAAGCAATCAACCAAACTGTGTACGCCAGACAAAACTGCAAACGTCTATAAAGAGAATCATAATAATAATAATAAATAAAATAAATTGGAGTTTTGTTGAGGGAAAAACTACAAAGTTAATAGCATTATTTAAGGATCCTGAGATTCTCATACCTTGGCACAAGATCCTGCTTCCACAAAAGATCCTTTAAAGCCTTTCTTTTTAATCAATCCCGAACCTAAGACGGCCGCAAAAAGATAAAATTAAAGAAGGTATTGACTTGATTTCAAGCAGACAAATGAGCCGCAACAAATGTTAATATCTAGTAGAATCAGGGATGGACCAAGGGAGCTAGAAGGTACAGTCCTGAAAATTTCAAATTCTCCTATAATTTAGGTATTTTCTATTAATAATCTGTTTTCGCCCTTAAATTTTTTATAAGTTTGCCTCCTAACATTAGATTATGCGTACACCCTGAGTAGAATATCCCGCCCAAAAGGTAACTCAGTCACCATAGGCCAAGTCCTAACCATGAAATGCCAGCCAAAGTAATGACATTGAACATGCATTTTTTGGACAACCTAGAACGTAAAAGACTTGATCTTTTGAAGGCCTAGAATCCCCAAAGGGGGTTCAAGCTTAAAGATAGGGCAGTTGAAAAAATCCCCAAAGGAAACTATGCAATCTAAATCACAATTCGAAATGCTGAAAAACAGAATAATCCATTGTTCATATATAATGACTATCTTCTCCACTCAACCGCGATTAATATTCCATATAAGTTTCAACTCATATAAGATGGTAAAAAAATTCCCATGACCAACTCTAAAAAATAAAACAAGTTTTCTGATCTGGTTCGAGATTGAACAAACTCCACAATAACAAATAACATCAAAACTAAACTTACCCAGATATTCAATGAATTATTTTTTTAAAAAAAATCCATACCTTAACCGAACTTTCCAACAACGCCAGAAAACCCAGAGACGGAAAAAAAAAAGACATCGGATATTTTCAATCTAAAAGTGAAAAACAATACCGTAGCCAAAGATGGAGCCCATGAAGGCACCGGCGGCAGAGTCTCCCGCGAATTGGAAGAGGCATACGGCAGGGGAATTGGAATTGGACGGAGTTGGGATTATAGCTTTTGAAGAATTGGGATTAGGGTTTGTTTCAATATCGGATTCAGCAGAAGAATTTGGAGATTCCGAAGTAGCCATTTTTGTCCTAAAAACTATATCAGTTACTTCTCCCTCCCTGCCTCAGCGTAGCTATCTTCTTTTCTCTTTGGAAGATGCCCGATATTTTATTTTGCTTATCTGCAAACGCCAGCGTTTTATGAACCTTCCGGCTTCCATATTAGTTTATTTTTTTCTTTTTCTGTTACGTTTCTTAAACTGCTTAAAGTACTATTTATTAAACTTTACAACCATTGAAATTTCAAATTAATCAAAGAATGCCTTAAATTAATGCCTAAAGTAAATTCTTAAATAGCATTAAAAATGTAATTCCCTTGAAATAATTTCTTAAAATGAATAAAAATAATAAATTACACCCATGTCCAGAATATATATTTGGTCACATAGTTTGAGATGATTTGTATCCTCTACATACATGAAAAACTTGGAAAAACTAGACACAACCGTGTAAGATACGTACTTGTATCTGACACTTATATATAGTGTCCGAAACATAGTGTACATATCTATATAGACTATATTATTTTCCTTTTGACCAAAGTAAGGTCTGATTTCTTTTGATGAATTAGTAATGTTCTTGATATATTGCCCCAAATTCAGCTCTCCATGCCTGATCATCATCATATGGAGTTGCACTGCTGTTCTGCGTTGCTACATCCGAATCCTCTCGGTATAATGGTTGCAGTGCAGATTCTGGCAATCTGCTCTCTGCGAGGTAGTGTTTCATGGTGAACATTTCCATCTTGTGTTTTCTTTTTAGCTTCTCCACTTGCTTCTTTAACTTTTCATTCTCTTGTTGAACATTTCCAAAGTTCTCCTGTAAAAGCAAAGGACTAAAGTTAGGATCAAATTCTGCAGTTTTTTATAAGTAAAAATATTGAAGTTTTCACTTTGTTACCTCTGCAATTGAAGCAGCTTGCTCAGCTTCTCTCAGTCTAACAAGGAGTTCTCCAGCTGCATGAACAGCCTCTGCTGTGTCTCTTAGCTGGATTCTGAGACTTTTGTTCTCTTTTTTCAAGAGTTCTTTCTCCCTTTCTCTTTCAACTCTAAGAACTGAGAGTTCAGCAGCCAGGTATTTTGCAAAACGTGAACCGTGGCCTTTGCTCCCTGCCTTTGCAGCTGCCTTCTTTACTTCTGCAATGCCTTCCATTATTGCCCGGTGCTTCGTTACAAGATCATTGTATTTTTCTTGAAGGTCAGCATAATGTTCAACCATTCTAGCATGACAAAGGACAGATCTGCTAAGAGCATCATCTAACTCCTCGGTGCACTTCTTCTCTAGTTTCAGTTCCATCTCTACTTTCTCGGCATGGCAGCGGATGGATTCAAGGTCCATCCTGAGTTCATCGGTCAACGATATCCATTCACTTTCCATTTCCATCCATCTCTGTCTTTCCCTCTCAAGTTCTTCCTCACTGTTATTACGACCGTCTACACTTTTTCGCAATTGAATGGAACGTGACAACAAAGAGGACCTTAGATTTTCCGTAGACATGTTCAGAGATGGAGCAGCATATGACTGCAATTTTCTCTTCAATGTTTCAATTTCCTGAATAAGTGCTTCCTTTTCAGTCGTATCAAAATGTTCTTTTCCATTACCACCATTGTTCGACTGCTCAAATGGTATTATTTCATTCTTCAAATGCTCAGGAGGATATTCAATTGCAGAATTTTCTTTCTCAAGTTTGTATCGCTCTACCTGTACAAGTTTATAGACCATCAAAATATAGTCCAAGTTATAATATCTTCTCATTTTTGAAAGGGGTCAGAAAGTTTATTACCAGATGGTTTAACTGCTCAATTTTGGCTGCTTGCTCCTTACAAATACTTTCAAGTGTTTTCTCGCTTTTGGTGGCTTCTTCCAAATCCCTTGTTACAGCCTAAAATTGAAGCAACAAAACTAATAAGTACACAGCAACAACCAAACCATAAAAGAGAGGATGTTTCAGCAAGTCAACATACTGAGTTCTCGCCATCTCTCTGTTTGTTATCAACTGCTACAATCCATGTCTTCAAGCTATCCTGAACCTCATCAGGGTTGTTGTTATCAAACTTCCTTTGGCAAGATGAACAAAAGCAAAGAAGTAGAAGAACCATCTGAAGATGGTTTTTCATTTGGTAATGTTTGAACAGAAGCATTGGCCTTGTCTGTTTCTGGGCAAGGTTTCAGCATCAAGTGTTCGAAAGAGAAGGCAACTGAAGATCTGTTGGAAGATGAACCATGCTGGTGATTATCAATAATCTGCAGGCCTTTTTGAAGGCAAGCAGCCAATGACTCTGTAGGTCCAGAAAGTGTCTTGCTTGCACGTAATGATGACTTGATGTGCTCGCTGGGCTTGAGCGACTCTCGTAATACCTCTGACTCTGAACTCTTTGCTACATAGTTTTGACTGGCCAAAAGTGCAGATGAGACAGCCATGCTTTTCCTTAGATTATTTGCAATTTTAGGAGATTCTGACAAAGTAGACTCTTCGAGGATTGAAGACCGACTGTGTGGGCTAATGGAGATGCTATTTCTAATTGAAGGATCAACAGCCTTCAAGGTTTTTGATGTGCTTGAAAGGTCATCAGCTGCTGCGGAAATGGCCATAGGAGGGAGTTCCTCTAGATCAATTTCTTCCATCTCTGTTTCTTTTGGGCAAAAGTCTGTCTCACAACTTTCTCTTACAGAAGAAGACTGAATGCAACCTCTCTTGTCAGATGGATCTCTTACGTTTGTCTCAATAGAGCTATGCAAATAATCTAGGTGCTTCCGTAGTTCCTTTACATCTTCCTCGCCAAAATTAAGGTCTTCCTTGAATTCATTATCTATACGTGGAAGGATCAAAGAGCGGTTCAGACTTACTCTTAACTGATTCAAGCTTTCACGTGCATTCCACCCATTAACATATTCAGTTTTACTACCAACTGAGCTATATATGCATCAGACTTTGCTCTTACAAGCTCTTCCTGTAATTGATAAGAGCAAGTCAGGTTGTGATCAAGTACAATGAGCTAAAAAAAGATAAGTAAGGCAGAAACTTCTCGACCTTCAGTAGACGAATCTGATCACTCAAGCTGTTGACATGATCTTCAGTTATTTCATTTATTACTGGCTCGTTTCTTACAAATTTAATCCTTTGCCCGAATCTTAGAGTGCTCAGTATTTCACTACTATTTCTGCAGTAAAAAACAATATAAGCTTTGCTCAAATAATGACCTTTGAAAACATCACTACTATTTCTTAAAGTTTCAACGTTATTGCAACTCGCATTCAATAAAGAACAAAGTCGAAAAATGTAATCCGACTAGAATACCTATTGTCTGCAGAAATGTTGCAAATAACTGTGAGTTTTGCATTGCCACCAAGGGATTCTCTCAGTATACGTGTTAAACAGGAACCTCCATATGGAGCATCTTCAGATTTTTTAGGTAGACTTTCTTTTGCAAGAGTATTGACCAAATATCTACATCATTAAACAACCAAAGATTATCCACAAGCTCTAGCAACAATACCCAATAATCACAGATATACTTGAAACTTTATAAACATATCAACATCTAAACTCACTATTTGAATGGTTTCAGATTATATAAAGAGAATGATACACATACCCGAGGTGCGATAGGGACTTCTTGACATTTTTGTCTTCCTGTACATGTTGTCTACTCACATCTTCAAGTTTGTTTCTATCCAGTCCTGCAAGGTCGATCAAGCTGATTCTGCTTGTTTTTGAACTGCCGAAACACTTTGAAGAAGCTTCCTGTGGTATCAATGATGATCAGCTCATTAATTTGAGAGGAAAATCCTAGATTCTATATATGCACAAGTATGTTTGGTCACACTGATCATGGAATTGAACAGCATCAACGAGAAAGTGCTACAAAACATAACTAGACTGATTGACACCCAAAAGAAAAGATTAGCAGAATTTAGAACTCGACTGTGACTGTACCTTGCACCAAGATTCGATGACGAAAGTACACACAATGTGAGATCGAGAACTCTTAGAATTTACAGTTGTTGCACCAACCTTCCTACTCGAAAGCCCCTGTAACACACAATATTGAAGTGACCATGTACTAGTAAGAATAAAGCATGATAGATAAATAGGCATTGATTGCTTTATGTAGAAAACTTATTCCAGTAAATGGTTGGCCATATACCTTAATCAAAATTTGAGTTACATCCTCGTAACTAGAAACATATTCTTCAGTCAAATTCTCAACATATAATCCATTCTTTGCATCATCCTTTATCTGGAAAACAATGTCCAATAATCCAATTATACATAATGAAGCAATAACCCCTGAGAAACTGTTTGAAGGGGAAAATAAGTAATAGGCAATACTCACCTCAAGGTTCCTTCGAGTTGGATCGAGTAAATCCCCAACTTGTTCATTGTAAATCTGCAAAATAATCATGCACAAGTCATTACATTATATGAAGCAAAGAACATATAATTTTTACACAAGTACACGAATTCATGATCGCAAACTCGGCCTGCTTCATGAATTCTGTCTACTTCAAACCAGTACATACCTCAAGAAAGGAGCAACGGCACTGATAATTTGTTTGTCTACCATCAGAGTTCTCTTGTTCCTGTAAAATTCAAAACATATGAAGCAACGAACCATAACAAAATTCAGAGTAAGGAAAACAGAAGAGCATACCCTTTGAATTTCAGAGAACAGCATTTGGAAGATACGAGGGACAATCCCCTGGTGGCTTCCGGGTGAGGGATCATCAACCATGGCGCTTGGTGGACCCCACATTGTATAGGTCTTTCCACTTCCAGTCTATTCACAAACACGAAGTAATTTCGTATAAACCATGGTTACTTTATACACAACTTTCTATCAAATTTTCTAGCAACTAATATTCATCAAGCAGATGGAGAGAAACTTAATATATATATGTATGTATTGTAAATAGTACCTGTCCGTATGACAAAATTGAAGCGTTGTAACCAGCTAATGCATTTTGCACCAAAGGAACGCCAATTTGCTGAAAAACATCCTCCTGATAGCCAAGAAAAAACATACAGTTTATGAGCCAAAATATCCATTTTTTATATAACAAAATGGATTTGAAATTTGTTTGCACTGACTAACCTGACTGGACTTTGCATCAAGAACGG